TCTTGTTGCTTTTCCATTATTTCCTTTTACTTTTTTGTTCTTTTAAAAAGAAACCATCTTGACATTGATGTGAGAACAGCAGAAAACCTGAAGAATTCCTGTCAAGTTACCTCAAAAGTCCTTTAGTTACTTTGCAAAGCTACTTTAACTTTGTAAATGGCTGGAAAATGTCAGTCCTTTGCAGAGGAAAACCAAGTTGGCCATCACTTTCTTTTTGTAATATAACTTCATCTTAACTTTGTTTACCAACCATAAGTAAACAGTTACAAATAAATGAGTGATCTTTAAACTTGTTATTCTGTGCTCTGGGTTTTAGATGCTATTTGGATGGTGCATGAAAATTCTTTGCTCTGTAGATGGCAGTGTATAATTCCTTGAGAAGAGCAACCACTAATTCCCCATCCCTACTTATTAAGACCACAAAAACCCTTTGATTTAATTTATACTTCCTAAACTATGACTGCAGTGCTATAAAAATGCTGCAATTCCAACAAAATAAGATGCAGCTAAGTTATTTCTGTGCATAACTGAATGAAAGTAGGGAAACTCATGGACATAAATCAAAGGCAGAAAAGCTTTTTCCACCCAAGGGTCACAATCCTTTACGATTAACTGAGCGTTTCATGTCATCAGTAAGTGGAGTCTAAAACCCTGCACCTTAGAATTTCTCACATGTAATATTCAACACATGTGGACTGTACCATGACAGCTGATCTGTACCCATGAAGAGTTAATCAGATGTAATGGAATGTGCAAGCATATACCCTATATACTCATCTAACAGTTGAGAAATTTAGTCCAAAATACAACCACAAAAATCTGAGTCAAGTTTGAATATTGTACCTTAACTCTTACAAAAAAAACACACAAAAAAACAAAACAAAAAACACTTATTCTAGGAGTTGAGTGGCAAAAGGTAGGAGCTTAGACCATCCCAGAAACTGAATATATCTCTCATTTTAAGTAAGAAAAATACGTTTCCAGACAAAAAAAAATGTATTACATGAAGGCTCCTAGAATAGAACAGATCCCTCAGGTAATATACAAGCCTACTGTAATAGAAAAGTAATATGTTAAGCAAGTAAATAACGTAACAAGTTACTTGGTCAACACTGTGATAAGTAACAGAAATGTTCTAAACAGTTTACTGGATGATGAGAATTAATTACTTCCAAAAAGCAACTTTCTCATCATGTTTAGTTCCAGTAATTTAAAAGGAGTCCACATAGCATAAGAGAAGAACAACTATTCCTTAGTAACATGGGTACTGTGCTTCTCTCCCTCCCCCCCAATGTTACCTGCATGTCCTGCTCAGGTTAGTGGGAAACAACTGATAGGAGCAATAACTGTGGGTATATTTCCTGTCTGAAGCTCTGATTCTTGGTCTCATACTAACAGGAAAGGCATGGGAAGCCATTTATTTAGAAAGCATGATTTCAGAGCACTTCAGTAAAGCTATCTTTTATTTGGGGGGCAGGCAGATTTCTAACTGGGCCAGTGTACAAGGAGCATACAACACCATGCCAGCTCCATTAGCTACCAGTCTGCTACCAAGCACAATTCAAAGTACTGGCTTTAGCCTATAAAGCCCTAAATGGTTCTGGCCCAGCCTAGCTATTCAAACGTATCTCCTACTATGATCCATCTCAGAGATTAAGATCTTCTGGGAAGGCTCTGCTCTCATTTCCATCTTCCTCACAAGCGCGACTGGTGGGGCCTTCTCAGTGGTGGCCCCTTGACTATGGAACTCCCTCTCTAGTGAAATTAGAGCAGCCCCCTCCCTCCTGACATTCAGAAAGAAAGTAAAAATGTGGTTATGTGATCAAGCTTTTACGGACTTGATTTTGGATGGTTTGGTTTTAATAACTGTTTTTAAATCGTGTTGTTTTAACATAAATGTTATTATATTATCAATGTTTAATTTTTTTATACTGTATGTTTAAATGTCTTTTTATGTTTATGTTTTAATTTGGTTAGGTTAATTTATAGTTACTATCGTGCTATTAGCTTTTGGTTTTCACATGTATGCACGACATTGAATTTTGTTTTTATAATGTCGGAAAGTGCTTTGAGGTCCTGTAGGGGGAGAGAAGCGGTATTTAAATGTAGTTAATCAATCAATAAATTTTATTTTACTTTATTTATATTTTTGACATGTGTTTCAGGGTTTGCAATAAGATTAAAACAAGGCAGAGCTAAAATTTGCCAATAAGGTTAAAACAGATTTATGCAAGCTCCTGTGTTAAAGCACCATTAATTTGAAAATCTGTGCTTTATAGATTATAGCAAAGCCTTTTATTTTGTAGATCATGACAAACTATGGATTGTACTTAAAGAAATTAGTGTGTCTGATTGTACAGATGTGTAACTGGTACTCAAGACAAGAGGCCACTATTAGGACATAATATGGAAAAACAGAATGGTTTCTAATTAGCAAGGAGAACAGGCAAGGCTGTATTTTATTAACCTGTTTGTTTCACCTGTTGGATGAACATATCATATGTAAAACTGGATTAGACCCATGCATAAATGTTTATGATATAGTTTACAACTCCAATGACTTGGGGTAAGTCTGCATATTTTTAATAGGTAGAGTACAATGGAATCTGCAATTAGGTGTTATATATAATTAAGTGGCCAATTTATTGTTTTTGTTCATAACTAAATGGACTCTTCATTGTCTCTAATGCACAGTTTTCTATTATTTTGAAAGGTTGCCTTGTTACACTTAAAATTATGAAACTAATTAAGAACGATTTCCGCTTCCTTTGGAATGAATCTGTGTTATGCCCAGAGGAGGAACCACAACATTTTAAATTACTCTTGAATGTGAAAACTGGGCACAGAAAAAACTTTGCTGATGCACGCACACAACTCACCTGTCTTGATAAAACACATTCTATAACTGCACTTCTAATATACCTCTACAATACACATATCTTGTCTTTTCAGAACTCACATTTAAAGGAATGTGTGCCTTTATTTTTCACTTATATTTCTCTCAAGATTTTTGTATAGTTGGTTTCTACAATGTGGTGCATTAGGTAAACTATAGTTCTCAAAATAGTAAAAGTATACAGAACATTCCTACCAAACTTGCAAACAAAAGTCATGAGGAGCCCTGAATGTTATAGCAGTATAGACTGAAGTGATGGGTTTGTTTCCTCTAAACAGTATGTACTAGCAGTGCTTCACAATTCTCCACGGATTATCATAACAAACCTGAAAAAGTCACTATGACTGTCATTTCAGCCGAGGCTGAAAGATAGAGCAAATGTAGCTAGCCTTCCAAAATCCATCCACTAGTTTGGCTTTCATTACTGTATTCATAGAATCATAAAGTCAGAAGAGACCCCAAGGGCCATCCAGTCCAAACTCTTGCCATGCTGAAAGATATAATCAAAGCATCCCCAACACACGGCCATCCAGACTCTGCTTTAAAAACCTCCAGAGAAGGAGACTTCATTACACTCTGAGGCAGAGTATTCTACTATCAAACAGCTCCTATTTGAACTCCTCCTATAGGTCTGCAAATGGAAAATGTTAGAGTCCTTGCTCCTCAATTGTTTAACTGAAAACTTCTCTAACTTTATAAAGAAGGTGTGTTCTTTAGCCTGGATAAACATGGAAAGGCTGAGATTTAAAAAAGCACACACATATGCATGATCGTTAACAAAATGACCTTATGCAAATAACATAAGGATTAAGTCCTAGTGGGTTGAGTGTAATTTTCCCCTAGGTGGTTATACATTGAATTTCCATGTTACAAGTGAGGAATAACCCCAACTGACCTGCAGCACCACAAACCAATGCAATCTGATATGACATAGGTTTAAAGACAGTCCAAAATATTTAAATCCAATGTGAATAGCTTTGCACAGGTTGACTTCAAAGTTAACATGGGATCATATTCTTCAAAATGTGGAATAAGAATCACTTTTACTACTGCTGATTGTGTCTGTCTATATTACACTATGAGAAATGGTATACAGGCGTTCCAGATAAAAATAAAACCTATGTCAGTGAATTTCCACAAGATGAACTTGTTGATGGCTAAATATTTAAAAAGAAAATTGAAGAGCAGGAGCAGTTTCTCTGTCTTTCAAACTCCTGGATCTACACTGCCCTATATCCCAATATCACATGCCAGATTATCTGCTTATCTCAAATTATCTGGCAGTGTACACTCTTATAATCCAGTTCAATACCGATAATATGGGATCAGATCCTGGGATATAGAACTGTGTGGATCCAGTCTTAGATTACATATCTATGAAATGAGGATTCAAATACCCTAAAGACCAGATCCCATTGATTTTGGAAGCTAAGCAGGGTCAGCCGTGGTTAGTACTTGGATGTGAGACTGCCAATGAATACCAGGTACTGTAAGAAATATCTCAGAGGAAAGAACTGGTGAAACCACCTCTAAGTATTCTCTGCATAAGAAAATCCTATGAAATTAATAGAGTCACCCTATATTAACAGATAGCCTGAAGGTACACACACATAGCCTCATGAGTAATAATAATAATAATAATAATAATAATAATAATAATAATTTATTTAAAGACCACCCTCTCTCCCTGGATGGACTCAGAGTGGTTTACATGTAAAACGCAAACATTCAATGCTTCAGAATAGGTGGAAACACATCAAATAACACAAAATAATGAAGAATAACAACAGAACATTTACGACAAGAATTTAAGCACCAAAATAAAACAAAAACAAAAACAATATATTAAGACAAAAACTAAAATATAAATATTACAATGTACACCCTAAAAACAAATTATGAGACATTACATTAAAATGGCTGACAATGGTGTTACATTTAATACCTTTAACCTTCATTTAAAAGGGTTTAAACATGGTTTTTCTGGAGGCAGAATGAGAGTGGTGTCACAATAAAATACATTAAAGAGTATTCTCAAGAGTTTGGGGACACCTCATTTCATCACGTGTAAGTATGGTTGAGACTGCACATTCCTGAAACATACCTTCATAGGTTCCTACTTCAAGAAGAGTCCCACTTTTCTCAAGCTCAAGAAACTCCTGCACAGTTAGAAAGTTGTAGTCCACACCAGGCACTTCACCTTCTCGTGGAGGTCGAGTTGTGCCTATGTAAGAGAAGGGGAGGAAAGGAAATATGACATCAGTATTCAGACTGAAGTACCATCAAAAGAAAGCCAACACTGCATTGTGATGAGACTGATGGAAATAATGCTGTCAAAACCTCAAATGAAACCTTCAAGAGAGATAAGACATGTAGTAAAGCAGACTATCAAAATGGAGCACCAGTATTACTTTATGCTTCATATGTAGCCCCCGGTCCAAAAGTGGGGAGGTGGGTTGGTTGTCACGATATGTCTTCAAGTCATTCCAACGTATAGAAACCCTCTGGTCAATTTATCATAGGGTTATCTGAAGCTATGTGACTTGCCCAACGTCACCCAGTAGGTTTTGAAGTGAGACTTCAAATTCTATTCTCCGGAGCCGTAGTTCAACACTCAAACTGCTACAACATGTTGGTTCGGGAAAGGATGCTCAACTTCAATATGTATGAAGAAGCACCTCCTTTTCACATCCAGAGCCACTAAGCTCAGAAACAACCACAAATTCATCCAAAAAGCAGCAAAGCAATTTAATCAAGTCCAAGTATATAAAATAATACAACACATTAAAATGTGTTTTGAAGTTTTTATATGTCTCCTTTAACCTAAAATGTTATCCTTCTTCCCCACCACAAAGTCATTTCACACAGGTAACCCTCTTTTCTCTGTCAATTTTGAGAGATCTTTGGAGTTGACCACAGCTGAAGGCACTCTGGAAACCTTGGATGGTTAGGAGATTTGCCTAATCGAATGTCATGCATCCAGGGCAGTTACCTTAAAAGTAACTGGTGACCACTGAATCACTCATAGTTAGGTTACCATGATAACTCAAAATTTGTGATGTAACTCGTTATTTTGCCTCTTTCCAAAAGCAGTTAAAACAGTCACAACAACCACAATGCTAAATGTTCCTGGTCTGTGTTACACAGCATGTTCATTCAGTGAAGCCACATACTTTCTACCGATGTAAAAGTACCTAAAATAGTCGCAGTTATATTAATCTGTAATTAATAATGTTTATCCAATTGTAACTTATTTCTGCCTAGCCATTGAATTACTGAATTACTGGTAGGGGTGGGGGGAGGAATTAAACAAGTATAAGTCATGTATCATGTGCCACTTCTGTTTACAATCTTACAGCTCTTTCACTGTAAACTGAAAATAGCTCTCCTCTATCTTCACCTCTGATGCTTACAAGATAGAGAGAGAGAGAGAGAGATAGACAGACAGACAGACAGACAGACAGACAGACAGACAGACAAGGAAAGATTTCCCAAGCTGCTTTTTATATAAAGGGTATACAAGATATCATAAATCCCAAATACCATAAATTGATTTATATGAAAAATGTGATTTAGATTTTCGTTATTTAATTTCACAAAGCTTTCCTCTATAAGTCAAAACTTGCATTAGAAATTTATTAGCATTTGCTCTCACATTTCCCACCTGTCTTTTTATGACAACGGGTGTAACTTCAACATTCCTCTCCACCTTTATATGTATTGCATCATATCAGTCAAAACTGCAGATTGATTTTCTAATATGTTTGAATAATTCTATTTGTTTCATGTCAGTGTCCTTAATTTCCTGAGCAAGCTGAGATCTTAGTTGCAGCTGTATTTTGTTTCAGCAGAGTGTGACATCTTTACAGACACTGAAATAATTTTATGTTCAGAAAATTGTACATATAAATCAAAGTACATTTAAATTTACTAATCTCAGTGAGAGAACGGAGAGTATCCCTTTTCCAAAATGCATGGGACCAAAAATATTTTGTATTTCAGACATATTTAGATTTTTGAATACCTGTATTTGCATATACATACAAAACTAGGTATCTTGAAGATGCATCCAAGTCTGAACATGAAAGTCATTTATGTTTCATAGACACTATATACACATAACCTGAAAATAAATATACAGAAATATTTTAAGTGATGTTGTGCATGAACCTACACTGAACCATAAGAAAACAAATATGTCACTACTTTCGACACTAATGTGGATGATTTTGGATTATTTTAGATTTCAGAATTCCCATCAAGGGATACTCAACCTGTATTCATTTTGTTGAGAATTACTGAAATAGATACAAAGTGCTCAGATTTTTGTAGACAACTCCAAACATCATTTGGAGAGCAGAGAGAAGATAGAGAGACTCATTCAACTGGGTCACAGATGACTATGTGTATAGTATTTGCATCACCATTGTGTTTTGAACTTTGCATCCTCTACTTCAGTAGATGGACACTGAAATAAATTCAAATGCATTTGAGTCAAATGGAATTTGTTCCTCCATGCACATGTTAGCCCAGTGCTTTTATCCAGGTCATCCAGAGAACAGGATTATCTGGGCTACAGATTTATTCATTCACACTTAGGTTGACTCATGCCATCTCATTGGGGTTTGCTTCTGCAACAAAATGGGAATGCACTTACAATAGCCTAGCCTAGTATCTACAAGAAATTGGCAAGACAGAAACACTCACTGACATCATATGTAAAATACTACTTTCAGTGTGAATGCCTCTTGTCATTCTGTGGGTGCAAGGGGGGGGGGGGTTACAAAACACCCACATTCCACATTGTCATATGGTGTGATGATGTGTCTTGGCTTCTTGCATCTAAGCAAATGTTCCCAGCCCGCCTTTCTGAAAAGGAGTAAAGAAAACAAGGAGAAGGGAATCCCCGCCTCCTCCTTTTCTTAACAAAATGACAGGCTGTTGGCTGGACACACGCCTGACAGATGGCATTTCAAAGGATTTTTATGAACCATCTGGGGTGTACACAATGAGTACAAACCACCCTTACTACCAGCCCAGGAGGGTTTTCCTGTTCAGTGTTATTTAAGAAAACAGTGGGAGGAAGGGAGGGAAACCCAAGGAAATTAAATTCAGTGCATTTTTTCCCCTTCAAGATTCATTGCTTTCTTAACTGGCATTCTTTTCTAGGCAAAGTTTCTGAACAGGTAAAAAACAGGATACAGTTGGCCTTCCATATCCATGGATACACACAGATTAAAAAATCAACAGTTTGAAAATACCACCCCCCAATAGGCAAACCCTGATTTTGCCCACCATTTTATACCATTGTATAAAATTGAGAGGGAGATCTTCAAGTAAACCCCCAACAAATACTGAGGGCTAACTTTACACAATGTTATAATGAATGTAGAACTTAATACTAGAAGTCAGAATCCCACAATCCCAGGATTATATTTCTAATGTTTTGAGATAAGGACTGGTTATGCAACTGAAAAGCAAATAATTTAATCACTGACTGTACTTTCCACATTTTGCTTCCTTCTGACATCACTGCTTATAATTTCACCCAAAGCATTTGTGCACTATTTACAGATGAACAAATGGGTCAGTTTTGTTTCTCCTTCTTTTAAATGTCTTAAATCATCCATTCTCTCCCCTCTGTTCAAAAAGGCATGTGCTACATTTTCAACCATCTGAATTGACCAGATTTAATTGGTACAGCCATTCCCAGCATGGATGATTTACACTGTACCTCCCTCCTATCAGGTAACTGTTAAAAATGAAGAATCTGCCAGAAAACAACAACAACAAAAGAGATGGCACCTGAAATTCAGCACCACAAGCATGGCTGATTATACAGGGATTAAAACCCAGATTTTTGAGTGCTAAATGTGCACAGCACTCCATCCGGATAAAATTAACCAGTCAATTTGCCCATGATCTAATTCTGACGTCCCACTCATTGCATTTTACCACCCCTAATATAAACCTGAAAATCTGTGATAACAAATCCTACATCTGATAAAATTGAAACTGTATACTATGATTAATCCATTAGTCTTTAAACTGCCACAAGATTCTTTGTTGTCTCTTTTTGAAAGTGTTTGTGAAACTGTAATTCACTTGAAGTTTTCCATTAAGAAGATCTAACTGACATCCAGCATATGAAACGTCAGTAGAGAAATGAAAAATTCAAAAACTTGGATATTGAATTTACAGAAGAATTATTCTGGGAAACCTTTTTAAAACTTTTTTTTGTAATGAGACACATATTGCTACCAAAGTGATAGGAAAACAACAGCCTTAAACTTCATGTGGTCCAAAGGTTAGTTTTGAAACCAAGTTCAGATTATCACCCAACACAATTTTTCTCTGAAAACGAATGAGTGGCCTATCCTGGGTGCCTTTGGGAGGCAAAACGTATCTTTTAAATAGGTAGCCTTTCTCTAAACTACTGTAGATAGAAAAAAAATCTCAATTTTCCAGACCAGAGTAGATTTGGTTTTTTTAAAATTACAGCATCACTGTTTGCAAATGATCACTACTTGCATGCAGACCAATACAGTGATTAGATTGGAGCTCTCCAGACTGGCATCCACCAGACAAGTTGACCTACAGTTGCTACTATCTCCAACTATCAGGTTCAATGGCTATGCTAATTGGAGCAATGGAAGCTGTAACTTAACTTATCAAGAGGGTGAAAAGTTACATTCACTTGTTTCATTAAGCTACATTAAAAAAAGAAATCTGAATAGTGCCTGGGCTAAAAAATGAAGTAAATTCACAGAGTGCTCGCATTAATTGTCTTCTACCTCTTTTGTTGCACAAAACTTCTTCATTTATTAGTTTAATACATGTTGACATCCCGAGGCTAAGTTAATCAGAAACTTGCTTACTATAATTTTTGAACAATACTTTAAGAAGCCTGCATTCAGTCACCTCAATTATTTAAATGTAAGACTTCATGCTATATTTAAATAATTACCTGATACTGAATCACAATTAAAGCATATACACTGTGCTTGATGCCCGCCACAGATACAAGTGAAACGTCAGGAGAGAATGCTTCTAGAACATGGCCATACAGCCTGAAAAACCTACAACAACCCATATAAACTGTCTTCAAAACGTAGTTTCAGGGAACCAACAGCTGAGTTGGCTTATTTTCCTGGTGTTAATCAGTTACCAGAGATGAAGTTTGCTAAAAAGGGTTCCAGGAAAGGTCTAATTATAGAAGTAAAA